GGGAGGGACTCCCAGGGAGATGCTACCATGTGCACAGGAATCTGGACCCCCAAACTAGCAAGGCTGTGATTTCTTCATGATTTCATCTTTCCCAGCAAAAGTTCCTTTTGCTTTTCATTCACACATATGAGTCACCAACATGACTCACAACCTTATCAGCAAGATAGAAATCTGGGTTCTGCCCAAGGCAACATGCATAGCTGATGGTCCCTTCCCTAATACTCAACTTGGCGAGGTTCTCAGGTCTGGTAGCACTAGGGCAGCTGCCCTCCCACAAGGCCCAGGGTAATTGTTACAGTTGATGGAACACTCTGGCCACTACTGTGAGCTGAATGCTGACTCTAAGTTGTTGGGGCCATGACTGTCCATTGCTTGTTGATTTCTGTATCGTTTCTTCCCCTCACAAACCCAGAGCACAGTCCTCCAGGAGATCAGAAGTAGATAAAAAGAAAGCCACAATGTACCGACAGAGCCACTTGCAGTGACCTGGCCATCACTGAGCAATCAGTGCTGAGAAAATCTCTAGTTTGGAGTGTTTGACAACGTTTGTGGTGAAAATGTCATGCCATGACCTATTACTGGCTTCCTGCTTTACATCTCTGGATGTGTAGGACCCATGGGCCTCCCAGCAGTACTAACTGACCCTGGAAAGTTGAAATCAACAGCCTATAAGCTGACAAAAAGTTCATTAGAGTATATTTATTATAGCATGTGATTGGTTCATATGACATCCATTCAAGTATACCATGTGCTTTGACCATATTTACCCCTTTACTCTCTCCTGACCCTTTCCAGTGTCATTAGCTCCTTTCCTTTTCCCAATTATTGTCCCTTCATTACCTGCATATATGCATATATGTTACTTAAGTATAGGGGTGTACACATGTGGTGTGTGTGTGAGAGAGAGAGAGAGGGTGGGGAGGAGATTAAGGTTCAACATAAGGGAAAAAATGTAATATTTGTCTTTCTGAGTCTGGCTTATTTTATTTAATAAGCTGATCTCAAGTTCCATTTTCCTAAAAATAGCCTAATTTCAGACTTCGTTATAGCTGGATAAAACTGTTGGCTATGGATGGATGGATGGGTAAAGAAGAAGCATGTGTTCTTCATTGTCCTGTTGATTAATGTCTGGGCTGGTTCCTTATCTTGGCCACTGTGTATACTCCTGCAGTAGACACAGATATGCAGTTCCTGGTGTTGTTTGCGGACTTGGAGCCATTGGCTCCATGCTCAGGAGTGGGTTAGCTGAGCCGTGTTGTGGTTCTACTTTTAGATTTTTGAGGAAACGCCATATTGATTTCCTTATTGGCTAGACGGTTTCTATTCCCAAAACGAATCAACCCATCTTCCTCCTGCCAGTTTGTGTGGAATCCCTACCACCCACAGACATCCTCCTTAGTTTTCACAGGAAAGGAGGCACTGAAGTCCATGAGCAGCCACTGTGAGGAAGGCCTCCTGTATGCTTAAAAGACTCTGACTCATTTGATGTCCAGAGAGCTCAACTTACAAAAGAGAAGTCTGAGTCTCAGAGATCTTAAATTACTTAAGACCACGCAGTTCATTCAGGGAAGGGGTCAATTTTAATGCTTACTTTTTCTCATTCCTAGCTCTACCTCCTTCTGTCATGTTGACCCCAGGAAAAGAGCATTGTCCTACTAACTGCAAGTGCTTTGTGAGCTGGGCTTGCTTGAGATAGCCTGGTAGGAGATACAGAAACCTGTAGCTGGCTGGGTCTACTGTGTCTGACCACTGGAGGCCCATGCCTACTGCACAGTGCCTAGTCAGAAAGTTGGTTCTTGGATTCAGGGTGTTGTTGATCCTGTTGTGAAATCGTGTGGAGGTTGATTGCAATCCTGTCATGAAGTTGAGTTAGACACATTTCACTAAGTTTTGCTTTCCACACATTAAATATACTTTTTGCACATCTTTAGCACCCATAGTGGGCCAGCTCGAGTGCGCGATGGGCAAGTTACTATCCTTCCTTGGGCAACCATCTGCTGCTTCATCGAAGAGTAGGCCAACCAGATGGAGAACACACTATGCTCGTCATGCTCGTCACAGACTGGGGCTCATGAGTCCCAGAGGCCTAATCCAACAAGGGCCATGGGCCATGGACATGGGTGGACATATGTTGAGAACTTCTGATGTTACTTTATTCAAAACACCACCTCCCTGGACCTCCACAACTCCATGGAGCATGTGATATTCTACTCAGTTTCGGCATTACTCAAAAAACAGAGGCCAGAGAAATTACTCAACCATAGTAAAGGCAGGATGTGAACCCAGACCTCTGCCTCCAGAGCTGGCTGATACCTCTGATACCCTTGAGCATTAGGAAATGGCAGAGTTACCAATCAAGAGTGTCATGTCATCCCAGGGCAACTTTCTAAGGCTAGATACAAGTACTCTCAATGGAAAATAAAAGCATGATCTGCATGTGTCTAGTACCTAATATATGCACAATAATTAGATGCAATAAATGAAGATGTTGTCTAGCATAAGTGAGACCCCACAAAGCTGTCTGATAACAGAAGTAAGGTACACTACTCCTGAGGCCTCACATATAGCTGTAGCTGGAGTTACTGTACTCAAATAAGGTCCTTCCTGAATGGCTCTGGGATAGGAGGAAGTGGTTGGGACATGATGTACTTAATTTCTTTTCAGAAGCTTGGGTAGATTACAAGAGGAAGGAAGTCAGTCACATGGTATAACTCCAGTGTATATGCACTGAAGGAACAGACATATAGATGGAAGTAAGGGTGACTTGATGGATGGACTGGTGGGTGGATGGATGGATGGATGGATGGATGGATAGGCTGATGTTTGGGTAAGTGGGTGGACAGATGGGTAGATGGATAGATGGAAGATGATTGAATGGAAGGGTGGATGGATGAGTGGTTGGGTAGATGATGGGATGGACATACAGAGACTTATTACTAGTGGTACTCATATGTCCATTCCTCATGTGACTAACAAATGGTTTGCTCTGATTTGCTAAGGATTCTTAATGAGAATTTTCAGTCTGAGCCCATGGCAGAACTGTGGTAAACAGGCTCTTGATCAGTAGGAAACAAGTCATTATGACCAACCCATCTCTATGAACACAGGAGATAGATGAAGGTAGTCTGAAAAGAGTCATTTCTGGGTTTAAGAAGTACACTTTGCCATTCCCAGTTTCCCAGCCTGAAGAGAAAGAGATTTCTCTCCGTTAGGAGCAGGTTCAGTTTACTGAGATGGCCCTCCCACTGATGAGGTTTCTTTCTGTTTAGTGGAACAATAGCAGAAATCTGTCTTCAGAAAAGAAAGGGAGTTCCATGTCTTGGCTTTGCAGTTTGACACCACTGTACTTAACACTGATAGCAACCCACATTGCCTGTGGGATTACGTAGATTTCGCCTGGCTCAGGAATAGCATTAACAGCTATGGTTGGATGCTTAGCATCTCCTGCATGTTACACATAGCATGCACTTCTTACAAACACCACAGAAGTTAGGCTTCTTCTGATAAAACTTAAATAAATAAATAAAAAGAAAATAAGCAGACATTCAGAGAGACAAAGGAATTTGCCCAGAGTCCCACAGTCCTTTGTGGCAGACCTGGAATGCCTCCCTAGGTACTGCTGTCCTAAAGCTGTTTAAAAACCCGATGTCTAAGTAGATTTCAGTATGTCTATCCACAGGTTATTATTACACTACTAGAGTGTTTTAATCATTTTGCATAGCATCTGTTAACTGGAAAATATCAGTCACAACAGAAGTTGCCAGCATGCTCATCCCTCTCACCCTAGCACAGCTTGGTTGAATAGACTTGAAACTCAGCATCTTCTAGCAGCCCTCAGAACAACAATCTGCAAACTACAGGATGTGTGTCCCCTAACACTAAAGCGCTGTTGTCAACAAAGACCTTTGTCCTTCACACTCTCCAAGGCTCTTCCTTCCCCTCTCTGGGCCCTTAGAGCTCCTAGCTGTTTATATTTCCCTACCAGCTGGATGACTGAATGAGTTGGTTAAACTCTCGGAGCCTGATCTTCTCCCCAGTCAAAAGCAAATAACAACTGGATACTTAGAGTGTTCTGAAGACTGGATGAAAGGAACTTATTCTATCTTCCCTGGTCACTCTGCACTGCAAACATCTGTTCATATCCCATACACAAGTCGAGGCGGGCCACTCTGAGTCTCCAGCCCATAGACCTGTGCAGGTCCCCTAGGCAGATCACTCTGAGGCTTCAGCCCAGACTTTTCTCTGATGCCAGTTTCTCCCAACATGCAGGCACCCAGTTAACACCGCAGCACGCCATGTTTCTGAGGAAATTCTGTGTTTTCCACATTTCTTTCATTTATATCATTTTATGATTTTGAAATTTAAGAAGCTTTGCATGTTGGCCTTCTCTTTAGCTCTTCCTCTCCTATCTGCCTACTTCCTACTTAGATAATTGTCAATCGTCTGTGCCGCTTTTCCCAGGAAGATTCTAGCCACCAGCCTCCACAGGGCCCTACTACTGTCATTCAAGCTCCTCTGTATCTTTAGACACAGTGGCTGGCTGAGAGCCCTCACCAAGCACCTACTGTGTGTCTGGACCTACATGGGCATCATGTGTATGCTACATACACTCATCCCACCAACATCTGTGTGATGCAGGCAACACTGTTTCTATTCCAAAAATGAGAACATGGAGATCTATAGTGGTCTAAACGACTTGCCCGTGATGACGTGCTCAGGGAAACATAGCTGCCACATCCTAGCTGTTTCTTCAGTCAAACTGTCTTCTGGCAGGCAAATGGGCTGCCCACCAGCCTGCCACAGTACTCCCTCTTTCATATTTAGCTGTTTAGCATCTTCGGGGCAGTCAGGGTGCTAGGAGGTAGGACTTCACCAGTACATTCCCATGCTCAGTTTCAGGGGTCCTTCTCCGGCTCCCGGAAGCCCAGCCCTAACAATTACACTCCAGAGAGCTCCTAAAGTCTCTCCCCTCCCTGTCCCAGACAAGGTTCCCTAAATACCTTCAGATGCCGCAGAACATGGCCTCTTCTGGGAGTTGGCAGCAGAGGGCCACCAGGCACGGGGTCACCAGCTCTCCATCAACTGCGGTTGCTCCAGGCGGAGTGGGCCACACAGACTGGAAAGGGAACACAGGCACAGCCCATGTTATCAAGCAGGCTGCAGAGTTGTAGTTGCTAAAGGGCCGCACACTTCCTCTGCCGAAACAAGGAAGGCAAAGGCGCAGGGCTGGCAGGAGGGCAGGTTCCTGTTTTCACTAACCCACAGAGCAGACTTCTCACTGCAAGGACGGCGATGGGGAAGAGAAGGGCCTTATTAATTCCTTTACAAAGCACTTGAGAATATAGCCAGCTTGATTGTAAATTGCCAGGGCTTACAGAAACTCACTTTTCCCCTCTCTCTTTCTAATTAAAAGGCAGATGGGGCTGTGAATTTGCCTGTGCATGTCCCCAGAGCTCACTGGGCCTGAGGAGGCTGAGGATAGCTCACTGCTGCCTTCCCTTCCAGAGTTTTCTTTCATTTTTACAGTTCTCTTGCTACAGAAGGTAGCCAGAACAGTCCCTGGAGCTGCAGCTCTGCTATAGGCCGGTTTCAGCTGTCAGAGACCTACGACAGAGGACAACTGCCCCTGAGCATAGCAGAACTGGCCAGCAGCACCCCTGGGCACAAAACTCACCTCTGCTGTGGTGCTACCTGAAGAATTGAAAAAGCTCTTGTGATAGAGCTTAACACAGAGAAGGGAGTGGTGGCAGATGGGAGCAAGGCGTGATCCCTGGGGGATCCCAGATTCAAGGAGAAAGAACTAGAAGCAACTGTGTTGCCTTGAACAAGTCGTTTTAACCACTGGAGGCCTCCGTGTTCCCATCTGTGATGGGAACATAGATGACATCACAAGGAGGTCAGTGCTCTAGGAGGCAAGGATATTAGTTTTGTGGAAGGAGGTTCTAGTTCCTAGGGAACACCTGTGTACTGACATACTTGATGAAAAGGATCGTTCTGAAATAGTTTGCTAAACAAATACACTGCGGGGGGGGGGGGGGGGGGAGGCAGGGAGAAGAGAGGAGTGAGGCAACTTCCATGAGGACTCAAATGACAGGGGACGTGGGTCCATTGCTCTTTCAATATTCCCCATGGTTTGGAAATAGAATATACATGTGACTTTAAATAACATATTGTTATAGGTACAGAATATATAATTTCATAGTGTGTGAGTCTGTGACAAGGAAATCTGTGGGCATGCTACTAGGCGAGAGGAAGCGTGTTTCTGATCAGAAAATGGCAGCCAGCAGTGCCAGGAGGACCCTCCTACAAGCTGCTTTCTGCCATTCCCATTCCCAAAGTGGAAAACCCCTCAGAGAATTTAGTGATATCCCTCAGTCTGCAACTGGTCCCTACAGAGCCAGAGTAAAGTCCGGGGCATGCGTCTCAAGGACCCCACCCAGCTAAGACCAAGGTAGAAACTCAAGATAGTCATTTAGAAACCTCGCTGGGTGTCCTTTACAAAGATAAATTACAAACAGTGGGGCAGTATCTAAATTTAGCAGTGCTGTGTACTAGACAGACTCAGCTGGCTTGTGCAAAGCCAGCTCTGTGCAGGGCATGCTGGGAAGGTGCAAGCAGATGGTGTAAGAACTTGGTGGAAGTGGCCGAAGTGGGGAAGAGCAAGCAAGTGGAATACGCTAAAGTGGGGCTTTCCCCCACATGCACACCGAAGTGTGTCAGAGCTTTGAAGGGAGGGACACTCTGAAGGCAGGAGTGAGGGGACAGCTTTTCTGCACCTATTGGGAAACCCTCAGGCTTGAATTAATGTACTCCTGATGCCGGCATCCCTTCAGTTAATGTGGTTGATTGGAGTGCCATCTAGTCACTAGGATTCAGCCATGATGTGGCCTTTATCAGAGCCATCAGACAGAGACCTGGAGGGCAGGCCACAATTGCACAGTTGCAGGACTGCTCTAAAGAAGACATGGTGGGCACCGGGACAGTGTCCACAGGTGGTGGTGGTTAGGGACAAGGTGTGTGTGTGTGTGTCAGAAGGGCGGTCATTGAGTCATTATTTCAGGGGTCAGATAGCCTCAGAAGAAGCTAGGGTGAAGGGTTTACACTGAAGAAACTACTGCTGTGACCTTGGGAACCTGGAGCACATGAGTGGCAGAGGGAGATAGGTACTGGATAGAGTACACCCAGTCCTGACCTCAGACCCTGTAGGGTCAAGGTCTGTGGGAGAGCAGAGGTCCTGCGGAGGAAAACCATGGTGATTTGCCTCAAGGGGCTCTCCTTCTGCTCTGACAAAACCCTTATGTGGTTCATCTTCCACCCTCTACCCCAGAAGTATGCCCACCACCTTCCTCTGATCCACAAAGGTGGCCTGAGCATAAGAACCCTGTCATTTTTTCAGGCATATGTTTTGAGATTCATTCATTCATTCACCAGCCTTGGGTATCACTTGGGTTTTGCCAGGCACTGTGCATACTCAGGACTATGTGCCAGTAAAATGAGACCCTGTCCTCAAGGCGCACCTGGGAAAATGTTCCCTCCAGTTGCCCAGGCCCAGAACAGAATGGATCACATCCTGATGCTGAACACTGGGTGGAACAGGACTGCAAACGTCTATGTCCACTCAGAGCCGAATCCACTGAGATGACATGGACGGATCTGCCCATCCTTGCCCTTGAGTTTATAACCTAAACTAGCCAGGGGAACCAGCTAAAAACTACAGACTAAAAGCAGAAGTAGGGAGGGAGCCTGGAGAAGAATGCTGAAGAGTCCTGGGGCCAGCTCTGCAACGCACTGAGGTTTAGCAGGATGAGACCGGATTTTATCCTTACAGTGGGGTTTTCATTCAAGGACATTAATGCATGGAATTGGCACAAAAGCTAAAGATAGGAGGTAGCCTTCCAGGGGACTCAAGCTAAGTGTGTGCTCAGCCAGGCTGAACTGTACTGGCAATTGACAGCAACCTCTCAAGAGGTCACAACTTAGGATCCCCAAAGGCACTCAGGACCATCTGTGTCACATTTCCACAGGGCTTCGCAAATTAATTAGCTCTCAGTGCCCAGATAAACAGCCACAGGGAGACACCAAACTGTCAGCCATGAGTGAGCCAAGGATCACTCCATGAAGTGGGACAGTGTGGTCTACCCTTACTAAGGTGACAAGATGCCTTGTTGGGAATCATTTGCAAGAGTCCCCAGCTTGAGCTGGCAGCCTCCCAACTAGAGCAACTCGAAGCTCGTTTCTCCAGCTTTAGTTCTCCTGGAGGTTTCTGGCTTAGGAAAAGATACACTGTAAGGCAATTTGATGTTCCATGTCAAGAGTATAGGATTATCAGCAGGTCCCAAGTCTGGGAAGTTTAGGGTTTGTTTCCCTTCTTCCCACATAAACATTGAGAATAATGGATGTTGGGGAAGTCTACCTCAGGAGCCGGTAAGTAACATTTAAATAGAAAGAATCAGGTACCAGTGACCTAGGTTTCGCAGTTCAAAAGCACTTGATGCCTTTCCTGCTTCTGTGGACACCCTGCCTCCTGCAGGTGTCCTCCTCCTGGGTGTCATCCTCCTGGTGACTCGGAGCTCACCTGATCCCTGTAGATCTCAGAGCTCCTCCACCCAGAGGCAAAAGCTCCCTCTTGGATGCACCTGGGAGTTGATTTTGCAACGTAGGAGTCAATATCTAGAGATGGAGTCCAGATATCTAAGGGCTGGACTGTATGGCCTTATGCAGATTTCCAAGTCTCTCATAGAGCCTAATACCTAATACTTCTAGCTCATGAAGAAATATACATAAATGTTCTAATGTGGCATTAAATCATCGAGGCTCCCTTTTTTGTGGACTCTTGGAAAGACTAAAGTGGATCGGATACATGGGCACCGAAGGCCGTGAATCAGTGTGGCCCTGTACCTGCCCTGAAGAGGTAACCCACAAGTATCCACTGAATGAATAAAGAAAGGAGACTGTGTCTAGGGAATGAGATCATTTGCATTATTTCACCTTACTCTGCCCTTCCCGTGTAGGGGCAGACAGGCTGCATCCTGCTTTGGCTTAGAGTTAGAGAAGCGATCTGCGGGGCGATCTGAATTCACCCACTGCAGCGGAACCTGAATGTATCAGGCTCTGTCTCTGCAGGAAGTTTCCTGGGACTACAGCTCCTCAGCAAAAGTAAAAAAGCAGAAGCCCCGCCGCATGGCCCCCTCTGCTCAAGAGAGCTGCACAAGTACCCTGACTCATTAGAGCCCCGTTCTTCCATCCTTGCTCAATGAAACCGGCTAATATGGCTCCAGAGCCTGTGTGCTTCTCAGCCCTGTGAAGGTTATTTTACTGACTTCTAGATGTGCTAGCTCGCAAGCCGCCGTTTTTCTTAGATCCAACTCAGACACTTATCTGTTGAAATACTTGTGATAGAACCTCTGTGGGCTAGCACAGGGCAGAGCTATGGGAGACAAGGCTGCCGCTTGCTCCATCTTCTTAGGGTTAACCTTGAGTGGAACAGGGGACAGAATAGGCTGGCATGGTGGGGGTCTCTGGTGCACAGGGACCTCAGAGGAAGCATCTGGAAAGGCTTTGGTGACTAATGTTGACCAAAGTCTGGTGTTCAGGGGATCATAAAAAAATATGTGAGAATTCGGTCCAGCTAGACTTTGACAGGCTCATAGAATGTGTTTTTGTACCTCTTTCTCAATTCCTTTTTCTTGTGGGATGACTTCAGTTTTGTCTTGTCTGGAGTTGATGATGATGTCAGTACTGGCCACTGAGAGTCGTCTCGCTTCTTTCACTCCTTCTCTGTCCCTCTCAAATCTACTAGGCTGATGAGTAAGCCCTCTCTGTCCTCTTCTTTTCACGCTGTTCCTGTTCTTATTGCCCTGGGCCCTTTGGGACTACTCGTCAGGGTTTCACGGGCGATGCCATGTGGCATTAGGCAGGATGCAGGATGGCAGGCATGGTAGTGTCTGTCTGCAGCTCAGCAATGTCTGAGGGTATAGAGTAGATTGTATAGTGTAATCTATCTCTGTCCAAGGTCAAATGGTTTGCTGACTTGCTTGCTACTATTAACAGAGCATAACCAGACCCCAGTAGCAGTGTCCTCCTAGCTCCCCACTTTTCTCCAGCATCTCCTTACCATTTGACTAGTCACTTCCTCACTTTTGATCATGCACCCACAGTCAAAACCTGAGAGTGATCTCTCAGGATATTCATAGTTAGTCATAAACTGTTTCCATAGGTAACTCAGCTTATGTACATGGAAACTGAAAAGAGTGGCATTTCTGAAAAGATATTGATACTTAAATGCTCTGGAACTTTCATCCAGGGCTTCAGTGGTTATCTTTGGGTATCCCATTCAAGAGAGAAGGACACCAGGGAGGAAATAGACTGTTTCTAAACAGGAGTCTTGAAAATGTTTTTTGAAATCTTACATTTCACTCATCCTGGTGTCTTCAGGGAAAGCCCAGAGATCCTCTGAGCTCTGCTGAAGAACAGAGCTGTTACAATGTCTTCCCATAAAAGGGCATTGGGGTGGGGGAGTGCTGAGGGTTGCTGAACCCCACAGAACACATTTTTCAAGGGTGCCTCGTAAGACCAGTCACCATCGCTGCAGGCCTGGGACAGGTGCGTGCAATCAGTGTGGTACAGCATCTGTACCCTATGTGGCCAGAGAGAGCAGATATGCATGGGGAGGGGAAGAGGTGGGAGATTGAGGAAGCAAGTTAAAAAAAAAAAAAGAAAAAAGAAAAGCTGCCTTCCCCCAGATCTCAAAAGACCTTGAGGCCTTAATCATATTCTGCTGATTCAAATTCCCTGGGGCATCTTTGTGCCGAAGCTACTGGAATTAGCCCCATAATAGAGCAACTCCAAGCAGCAGCAAAGACCTGTACTGGGATCTGGAAACAGCTGGCTGCCCGCCTGGTGATAAAGCCACTGTCCCAGCCTTGTCACCTCTCCGCCACATTACCTCATCTCATGAACAGCCGCCCCAAAGCAACTGGCCAGCTACCTCTGGGTATTCTGAACAGCACAAAAGGAGCATGAGCTCTCTTTTTGGTGGCTTTCATTGAAATCCCAGCTCATGCTCTCCCACGATGCCTTCCCAGGCCTGCATGTTCCACTTAATTCCTCATGACAAGATTTTGTTGGCAGAGGAAGAGCAAGTACAAGATTGGCGTTGATGTCATTTAAGTCACTGCCACCCGGTTAGAGCCAACTCTGTAAAATCACCAGGCAGGGTCATCTCAGCAAGCAGTGATTCGCAATTGATTGCACCAGCAGTGGGAGGCTGTGGAAATAGCCTCAACTGAGGTGAAACTCCAACCCTAAAGGCCTCTGGTCCACTAGAGCAGTAATTCTAGTTCAGCCTTCCTAATGCTGTGACCTTTTAATACAGTTTCTCATGCTGTGGTGACCCCCAATGATAAAATTATTTCCATTGCTACTTCTTAACTGTAATTTTGCTACCGTTATGAACTGTGAGATAAATATCTGTGTTTTCCCTATGGTCTTAGGTGACCCCTGTGAAAGGGTCATTCAACCCCAAAGGGGTTCACAACCCACAAGTTAAGAACCACTGGACTAGAGTCTGCTCTGCCATTTTAAAATTCTAGTTTCAGTATCAATAAGTTTAGTAAACAGTTATATGGAGAGTGTTTAAAGGGTTATACCATCTTGTCATATCTTTGATTTGAATTGAATTCACAAGGGCTCTCTAAAATATTGCTTAGAGTATCTGAAAACATTGGTACTCTTTACTGGAAACTTGCTACACATAAACTCTTTCATGCTGCCTCAAAAAAATTCCTCCTAACAAATATATAAGGAAAGTATTTTCTCACCCATAATTTAAATCCAAGAAAGCTTCAGCCCAGGGACTTTAAATAGCTTTCCTAAGGTTGTGTAGCTGATCAGTGAGTGCTGGACTTGAGTTTGGGCTGATGACCTGATCAACTCCACGCCTCAGTGCCTCTCCTGTGACATTGCTACATATCCACTTGACAGATGAGGAAACTATTAGCCAAGGAAAGAAGCTAAGTGCTGTTGTGAGCAGAATTTTGCAAGAGTCCCCAACCTGAAAGCCCATTTTCCGACTCGTCTTCCTATGTCTCTTCAAAATAACAATAATTTGCACTTGCTTTCATCTGACAGAGTGGAAGGACATGATAGGAAATAGAGTCCAAACATGGAGCTGCAGAAGTATGCGTACTCTTCTTGTAGAAGTACATCAGAATCGGGGCAAGAGACTCTAGGAGGACCTAGGGTAGCCTTTGAAGTAAGCATCTGTTTGAGTGGAGAGCTCGGAGGCTGTCAGTGTCCTCATCCTGGTGGCGGTTGGGCTCAGACCATGAGATGAGGAAGTGGGCTCTGCCAGGAAAGTGCCAAACCCATCTGTCTAAAAAGACTATGAGGACAGCAGGTCTCAAGTAGGCACGGGAACCACAGGTTGCAATTCAATGGGTCAAAAGACAGTTGGCTCTTGAGAATGAAGACGCAGACTCCACCTCGGCTATCATTAAGGTGACATTTTTCAAGGGTGCCTAAGCCTGGAAAGTCAGTCATCTTTAACTACCGTACCCGTAAATGGTTTCTGACAATTAGAAGGTGATGGAGCTAATTAAACATGACACATGTGACGGGTAGCAAAAGGTGTTTGTCCCAGACTAGTCCTGTCTGCTTCCAACGTGAGGTTTGCTGTTGGAGCCCATCCTCTCACCCAGACCCTTCTCCTCGGGGACTTGTGTTTCATCTCATCACGTGTTTCCCTGTGAAGGTTCCTTCAGGGACTGTAGCCATACTGTTTACTTGTTGATTTGGTCATGTGGCAAGTGTGAGTGACTGCTGTCCCCTTGGCCAGGATCAGTCAAACTATAGCATGGAATCAGTTCTTAAATGTGACCTAAATGCTTCTCTAGTTGCATCCGCAATAATAATTCATGGAGACAGTGACACTGTTCTTGAAAATGTAAGGAGCTGGTATAGCTCCACAACTGACTCATTATGCGTGGATATAGGGTTTGGAGAACTGGTAAGGTTGAAATATCCTTGCAATCCAGAGAGGGGCACAGGTAATAGGGGTGAAAAGTTGGAACAGACTGTCTATGAATCTCACCTGGATTCTGCCATCTACTTGGGCAGTGTATTATCATGGAAAATCACACTGGAATGAGAATCCTTGGATCTCAGCCTCTTCTACTGTGTACCAGCAAGCTATCAAACCTCTTTGACACTCTACCTATGTCTACAGAAATGCTAGGATGAAGTAGGGGCACACATAGAAAAGCATCAAAATAAGTAGTGTGTGTTCCTCTTCTAAGCCCACTCTAGCATGTGGAGAATCGGCTCCATAGTTGGTGGGTCTGTACTGTGCAGAATGCAGAGAGGTTATGAACATCAGACAGGATATTTGTTGTGTATCTGTGGACAATGTTGTGTAGCTGTGGCCTTCCCAGTCTGCAGATGTGACACCTCATTTTCAGAACCCTGTGTGAAACTCGCCTCCATCAGGCACTCCCAACCCCCATGGGAGAAGAAAGAGCACCCTTGTAAGCCTCTTCCTTATTGACTGCCACCAGCCAGCCACTTATGAGTGAAGAATGAAAATTCGTGATATGATGTGTTACACCAGGCTGGGGCTGTGCTCAGAGGGCGGTAGTAGAGCGTGGGGGAAACTAAAAGCTTTATAGTTTGGGCTGTCATTACCAGCCTCAAGATCTCATATACCTCACCTCCTCATCCAGGACTGTGGTCTCTTCATCTGTAAAATGGGGAGTGGGGGATGGGAAGGTTGTCAATAGGTAGAGGGTTGTTGTGGAGATCACCAGATAAAATCATAAATAAAGAGCCCCAGCTCTTAAGAGGGCGCATGTGAAGACTGAATGCCTTTCACTTTCCCTGTAAGTGCGGGCACATGTGCAAACCCATGGACTCATACACATCAGTCACCTTCAAATTCTACCTACAAAAAGCACCCCCTTGGCTGTTACTTGCACTTAACTCCTGTTAGGAGGGCCAAAGTAGACCCCTCCCATCCAGAAGGCCAAGGATACTAAGCAATAGCGAGCCACACCTTGGCACTTCTCACCCCGGTTCTATAGCTTCTGCTAACTAAAACCAATAACCAGCAATTTCAATGAAGAAGAAAAGAGAAGTGAGCGGTTAGCCCATAGGGTGTAGTTTCAAGATGAAAGTTGTATTATCTGTTGTCATCACTCATGTTAGGATTTGCCAAAACTGAACTACAGACTTCAGGAAAACTCACAGGCTCGGGGATCAAGCAAAGAGATGACTTGGGCCTAAGGGCATGCAAGAGAACGTTAGCACAGACTTGGATGGTAGCCATTTAAAAAGTCTATTTTCTGAAGTTTCCAGGTCTGTCTTTAGGTTCTCCTTGTCTCTCAGAAGCATGCTCTGATGCCAGTGCCCATGGGACTCAGCGACAGGCTTAGATTTGGATGGATTTCCAGAAAATGAAGGGTACAGAGCAGGGAACATGCACTCTGGCTCTGCTCTCTGTCCAGAATCCCTGGACCACAGCCTGGGCTGGGCCCCTGCCTCAGCTGTTCCCTCCTCAGCTGTTCCTAACTCCTCCAACAAAGAAGAGGTCAAGCTACACCCTTTCCTTTGCCCCAGTTCACTTCTGCCCTCCATGTCTACAGGAAAATGGTGATGAACATACGGCTCTGGCCAGTGATGAAAAAATCACTTCGCTACTCTGCCCTCAGTAGTCCACACTCTGGAGGCACTCATAATCAGTCATTGCTCAAGGGCCTGCTTAATGTGTGCTCAAACTACTTCAGCCTGACCATGGACAAATGTCAGCAGTGATATTCCTAAATACTTAACAATAATCTGTCCAAAAGCCCCCATGGACTTCCTGTAGTTGTAGAAGCATGCCCTGTACCCTAGGGTTCACATCTTCAAGGTGATGCCTCTCACCTGGCTGTGATTGTCTCCTGATCTTACTTCTCAGCGTCTTCTATGCAGATTCCTTCCCTCGTCCTAGAAAGCCCAACTGTATCCTCGTCCTTCTGTGTGTTGGATCCCACCTGTAATACATAGAGAGGTCTTTACAGGGATGCTGGGATCTGGAGACCACAGCTGTGTTGTCTTCAACATTCCCAACCTACCTGCCATCCTTCCCACTCTCCCAGGGACCTGGAGTGCCCCCTTACACTCATTTTCTCCCATCAAAGTCAGTCCTCTCAAGTCCTGCCTCTCCTCTGTAGGCATACAGGTGCCCCACACCGGCTTCTTGGAGTTCTCAATGCAAAAGAATTCTAGGCTTTCTTTCTGATTGCAATCACAGAGGTCGTGTCTTGAGGTCACTCTGATGTGTAGACTGCTAAGCACAGTCCGTACTTTGAACAACTATGGATCTGGCCACTTCTTGGGGACTTAAGGCATAAGACTCTACATAAAAATCTCAGACAGAGTCAAAATATACTTAAGCTGGTTCCCCTTAAGTAGCTGAGTGGTTGAATTCACTGTAGTCCATAACTCAATGGGAGCTTGGGGTGAGGGTACTCCTCAGGGTGCTGCAGTGCAGTGGGGCTGTGGAGTTTTATATCTGCTTCCTCCCAGCAGGAACAACACATGGGAAGAGACACCACCAATGGTTAATACCATTCCCAATGCTAACTAGTGTTTCCTGTCACTGAGAGCTGATTACTGGTGTGGGGTGTCTTGTATCTTCTTTGGAACTGTTGATCCCCTTCCATAAGAAGACAGGGGAACTTACAAACCAGCAGGCAACACTGAAACCAAAACGTCAGTCTGTCTGTTTCTATAGGCAGGGCCTTTCTAGTGGGTGTTGTTGGCCCCACCTTCTCACGGAGATAGGCAGGGACCAACGGCCACAGATAACCTACTAATGCATGGCCGGTAGAGTGTGGAATGCTGGGTGGCTGCCTGGGGTGGACTTCATGTCTGTCCCTTCCCAGCTGTGAGACAGGAGGTGCACAGCTTCACTTCTGCCCGCTGCCTGGCACCTCTAGAACCAAGATTCGTGGGTTGTGCTGAAGATGGAACAAAGCTAGCCACTGCCCGCCTCTTGCATTTGTCATCTGTCTCTGAGCTGAGCCCGCCATAGCCCATGCAAGCCTGGGTGCTCACTGTTGAGGACGTGGCTGTGGGTTTCCCACCTTCTCCTTCCCTGGGGACTTCCTACCTCACAGTGAGGATACAGGAGCACTGGAGAGTGGTGGAGAACTAAGAAGCATGGGGACTCTAGAAAGAAAGTAGAGCAGGCCTCTTGGGGACTCCTTTCCTGCATTCCTGCATAAGAACATTGACCCTTAAGGCAGAGCCATCGGGGTATACCTGGGGTAGCAAGACTGTCACAGAAAATAAAATTGTGCCTTTGTTGCTTTATCTGCTAATGACTTCTTCAAGGAAGGCCTGACAGGGAGTCCTCGTGGGGTACACACTAAAGTCACAATTTCAGGATGACTTAATCAGAGTGACAGAGTTGGAGTTCCCCGCCTGCTCCCTTTCCCTCTAAACTCAGGCTTACTTTTCCCAAGCTCTGCTCAGCAGGGACCATCACTTCTGAGTCCTAACAAATGCCCCCCCAATGAGGGCAGCTTGTTTAACTGCTGATTTTCCACCAAGAACACGGTTTCCTTCAGAAAGATTGATTACAACAGAAAGAGAGAGGAAAGTTTTCTAAGCTATCTCACAGTGTCAGCGAAGCCCACGCCTTTACCCACTTCCTCCCCATATCAAGAACCCCAGCTATTTATAGCTGGCAAAGAAAAAAAAAAGAAATAAAATTGAAAACATCAGAGGCCCACCCTGAAATCCTCATGCCTTCAGGCATTCCCATAGGCAAAGCTGGGTCCACTTGGCATCACCTCCCATTCCCACGCTTTGCAGCGCAGAATGCGGGGCTGCAGCGGGAACCACTTCTGGTGGTAGTGCCATTCTGTTACAAGAATATATTAAGGGGTTTCTCATAAAAGCTGACCACTTGGTGTTACAAAAATAAATTGAGGGTGTAAGACTCACACTCAAAATAAGTTGCCCACTGTGGTTCATTGCCAAGATCACTGCCCACCTGGTCCTGGCTGGCTGCGTGTTTGATCTGTACTGCTGTTGATTCTCATGATGAGCCTGGCAAATTCTCTCTTGTTTATAGATGCTGATGCTCAGAGGATCTGGTGTGCACATCTTGCAGGAGGTAGCAGCAGGCAGTTTAGTGTATAAAGCACAGAACCCCCTTCTGCTGTCTCACACTATCTCGGGTCTGCAGCCCAGGCTCTCTGACCTTATCTGGACAGTTCAGGGATGTTGGGAAGGGCTCTGGTCATCCGTCTATGTATAGCTACTGGGTTTACAGTCCTCCTCCTGCTCATCCTGTGTACTTTCTTGTCCCTTCAATGAGTTCCTCACTGATGGCCTGGCCTCAGGCTCTGGTCACAGGTCCCGCCAAGACCTAACAACTAGACATTGATATGGAATAGGTATAGCACTCTCCCATCAAGAGCCTCCAGGTATGTGTGAGAGTCTGCCTCGCAGTGACTGAGCACTTGACCACTGTGCTCAGGTTCCTGATGTGTCTCTTATTAGCATTGGGATTCTCAGAGAAGCTGAAAAAATTGAGTTAGGAAAATAATCCAAAGGGTGCAAGACTCACACTAGGGAGCCTGTAGAGGTTCATTGCCAAGATCACTGAGTCTAGGCTCTCTTGTCTGGTTGCATATCTGACCAGGCACCCACTTTTCTATACCTCTGATATCTCTTCTGTTACGTGAAATGATGGTGTCTTCTGGAGGGGGGGAGGGGAAAGATCTATTTTCATAATCAGCTACATCATAGAGTCAGGAAATCTTGCTGCTTATGGAGCTCCCTGGGGGTAGAGGTGGATGCAGTTGTAGCTTTCAGCATTCTTTTACCAGAAGCCCTTCCGGTCCCTGTTCAGAACCGTCATCCTTTGCCTCTGTATACTTCTTCGGCTGCACAGTGAGCCTGGAGATGAACTTATCTGTATCTTCACTAAATAGATAAGGAAACCAAGTTTTTCACACGGCATACTGCTACACGCTGGTCAGCCCTGATACCCACACGTGTTATATCTCCAAGGATCCTAGGTATCTGTGTGTGGACAAGGGTACAGAACTCTGCTAAGGCCTCAAGGTCCCCAGCCTAACTGGCAGCCAAAGCCATGCAGACTGTCAGCCCAACCCCCATCCTTTCTTCCAGGGAGGTTCCGCACTGTCCCCAGCTGCAGTCATCAGCCCAGACAGGGCCCGACAGCAAGCTGTGGCCTTGGCAAAGGAGCTTGGATGCCCTACCTCATCGGTCCAAGAAGTGGTGTCCTGCCTCCGCCAGAAACCTGCCAACATCCTCAATGATGCTCAGACCAAGGTGGGCACTGGTGTGCATGCAAGGTGGGGAGGGACAATCTTTTGTCTTTACAAAGGGAAGACCAAGTTCTAACAAGGAGGTGCAATGATCCTTGCCACCCAAGCTAAGCGTCCAGTGGATGACCAACTAAAGATAAATTTGTCTCCTGAGTCCCAGTCCATGTAGGAGCTGCAGGCTGTGATGGAACACACAAGGCTACTGATGGGACACAGGCTTCTCTGTCATTTGGACGTTTTATGTACAGAATGGGAACTATGATGGACACCCAGAGTTGAGAGAGGAAATGCAATAGCACTTGAGAAGGGGCAAACCCCATGCTAGGACCAAACAAAAACAATGTCAGGTCACAGCCCCTTGGACAGATAGCTGGGCCTCCCTTTCTACCTGGAAAGACCTTGTTCTCAGCCTGGGTCTCTGGCTGCCATTGGTAAAGAAGACATGATCAGGCTTGGTCCTCACATCCTCAGAAGTGTAAGTTTGGCCCCTGACGCTTGAACCAAGTCTTGTCCTCAGCCTCACCTATGTGGGCTTGTGCTGGCTAGTGTCATTCATCAGAGCCATTGACTTTTCTTTAAGGCCTTCCCCTTATTCCTGTTCATCCTGAAAACATCTAGTTACTTCATCAGACTGTGAGGGTCTCCGGGAGGCCAAACATTGCTGAGAGGAGATTTGCTGCCCAGCCACTGGCATTGCCACAGGCTGTCCTTCTTGCCTGTTGTCATATTGGTTTTACCCTTGCTTTCTATTAGAACTCCCTGGATTTAGAGCATGAACATTTGTGATTAAGATCCCATTAAGGAAAGCAATCTAATATAATGGAGAGTCACTTTGAGGCACTCTGAGGCAGAATTATGGGGCTCTGAAGGTAGAGAAAGACACGGTTCCATCTTTCAGAGTTCCCTTCACAGAGGTCCTTTTGGTCCCTGTCCCTGTTCAGAACCAGTAGCTCTTTGCTACAATAGTCAGCTTCAGCTGCACAGCCAAGACTGGGATTGCCCCTTTTTAAAAAGGAAAGTAAAATGCAGGCAAGTAATGGCCTTCTTCCTCACCCTGCAGCTGCTGGCTGTTAGTGGCCCTTTCCACTACTGGGGCCCTGTTGTCGATGGCCAGTACCTACGTGAAGTTCCAGCCAGAGCGTTGAAGAGGCCTCTGCCAGTGAAGGTGGATCTACTCATAGGGGGTTCTCAGGACGATGGAATTATCAACAGGGCAAAGGCTGTAAAGGTAGGTGAAGGGGGGCAGGGTGGGGCCTCTGTACCCTTCTGGTAGGTCAAGAACGTCTGACTGACTTACATCTCTGGCTAGCAGAGGACTGTTAGCCAACTCTGCAGAAGCCTGGAGGTAATCATGGCAGAAGCTGGCTTCAGAACTAAGAATTTACCAAAGGTGACTAATATTGATATGCCCATAAACGTCAGCTGGGGATCAATCACTGTGAAGAGCTTAGAGTAGAAGCTGACCTGGGTGTTCCCAGCCTCAGGGGACCTCATCGTGAGCAAAAGCACTGCTCTCTCACAGTGTGTGGACAAGGACGTTTATCACAGCATTAATTATTGGAGCAAAAAAAAGTTGGGAAGAAATCCAGATGTCCCTTGACAGGGAAATGGTTGGCTAAATTAAGATACACTCTCACTTCTAAATATTATGCAGCTGTTAAAAACACGAGCCTGATCTCTCTGCTGGCTTGAGGAATGCCTCTGATGGACAGCAAAGTAAAAAGCAAAGAGTAGAGAGACATGGAGTTGAGATAGCGCTCTTGTATCTATGTAAATGTGCATATTTGTGTATTTCTGCATGAAAGGATTATGGTGTGAACAGATAAAACCAAGCAGTTAACATTGGCTGCCACAGGAAGGGTGAAACAGAATAGCTTAATCTCCGTCGCTGCCTTCTTCACATAATGAGTTACATAGATTATAACCCTTTCCTTGCAATCTCACATACAATGCTTCCTTGTGAGAGAGGACATGTGATCTTTGGGCAGGAGACCCCACCCTCATGCTGCTGGATCTGGAAATGTGTGCTGAACACTCATCCCATCTCTCTGTAATGAAAGAGAGGAAGGCTACTTTCAGAGTCTCAGCTTAGGGCTCATCTAAGACAGGGAGCATGGGGTGGGGGTGAGGGTCACCCTGGCAGGTGCTTCCTACACTACCTCCAAGCAAAGGAAGTTCTCCCAACTAGTGATGGAATTAGCCAGGCTTCCTGCTAGTCGATTTGTACTGTGATGGGTCAGAGCACAGCCCAGTTCACCATTCTCCATGATGCTTGTCAATCATAAGAGGCTGCTAGGCTGTGTGGCTGTCTCAGGCTTGCCCTTCCTAGCCCCGTCTCAGTGGTGTTTGGGGAACTTCCTGTCCCTGCTGACAGACTGCAGGGCCAGAATCCTTCCTTGATGCTGCATTTTGATTCAGGGCAAAGTTCCCTTTGTTCAGTCACAATGGAACACAGTGATATATGGCAGGAGGCTCACCACTAAACCAGCACTGCTAGGGAGGTATAGCCTTGGAGGTGACCAGAGCAGGGAAGTCAGTGTGCATGTCTGTGCTTCTCCAGTTCCACCCCACAGGGAGCTAGGCCTTGGTACACTGCCCATTGGTCACCCAGTTCCTTCTACCTGAGTTCTTGTGTTGTCTTAGGACCTTGCGTCTGATGAGCACACCCAGGCCCTGTCTGTCTAGAGGATGGGGATGGCAGAAGCAGTGGTTGATGGGAAGCCAGAGTTCAGCTCTCTGCGTCTCGGACCCTGTTGAGTAGGAAGTGTACACCTCCAGCCCAGCTGTCCGTTCAGCAACCCCCAACCCCTGCTTGACCCCAGACTGCTGCCAGAGACAAGAGACTGCTAAACATCTCAATTTAGCCCCTCATCTTTAGCTCACAGTGGTCCCCACTCAAATTCACATCCCCAACACTATCATCCCTGCTCTCAGGCTTAGCAACAGTAGATTCACCTTACCTTCTCTCAGTCTACAAGCCAAGCCCTTCTCTGGCAGTCAGAGCAGTGTACCAACAGCGGCCCCAGAAACTTGTTTGATGGGATCTAAATTTATTCCTTGCTATGCCCTCCCTGGTCACCTTGCATGACCAGAGCAGTTCCATGTCTTCAATTTTCCTTAGTTAATGCTGAAGGGTATGATATATGCTGCCCCCTCTCCTAGGATGTCCTCAGGCTTCACGGGCCTCATTTCATCTGGGATCGCTTCTGAGACCCTAAACCCAGGAAATCACTGCATCACACAGGTTGCACGGCATGAGTATCTAACACTAGCACCTGTTGGCTGTGCCCCTGAGAGCGGACCAGCCATTTACACTGTGCCAGATGCAGGGCCAGTTAGGGTGGTCCTCACTACCAATTGCATCCTGCTCTCTAAGAGGAAATGATCAGATTGGAACATAGAGAATCAACACGACACACATCTGGGAATGGCTCTATGCATGCTGTGTAGAGAAGTGGGCATCATGTCCCTGAAGGTAAGAAAGAGCTAGGGTGGGGTCCATTGCCCATAGTGGCATTGCCAGCTCGGTGACAAATGAGCAAAGACTGACCAGGACCCCTACCTTAGCATTCTGCCAGCAGAACAGGGGCAAAGTCCTGGATGTCTTTTGTCTGTAGTTGGAAGCATGTACATTTCCCCAGAACCAGAGACTTAGTTTCCCTATCTGTAAACTGGGAGACAATTAACACAGATCCTCTGAATATTCCCAGAGAACTCAAACCTACTCCACTATCTAGAAAATAGTTGGACCTGACAAAACGATAGATAATTTTATGCTGAATCCATTAATAAAATAGTTAATGACACTGGACACGAGAAGAAATACAGAAGACTTACAGCCACTGAACCATCTGCCTTCATGTCAGTTTTCCAAATCACAGCAAAAGTAAACATACATTCTAAAACAGGCGCGTACACACACAGACACACACACACACACACACACACACACACACACACACACACTTTCTCCTCATAGCAACCTACAGAAATGCCAGCTGGAGCCCAACCCACAAACACACACAGTTCAGGGAGGGATAGGTGCCTCCTAGCCCTCATTCAGCCCCTCAGCCTAGCTGTTCCTTCAGAAGAGACTACCAAAGGGAGGGTGGGTAGAGTTTCATTAAACCCCAAATTCCCTCACCCTTGCCACCCAGGCCACCAGGGTCCCCCCAATGAGTCCTCATAATACTCAGAGACATACCTGCAGAGCATGGGGGTTGCATAGATGCCTGGGAAGGTGAGAAGCCTCCGTTTGCTCAAAACGATCTCATTTCTGAAGTCGAAGCATTCTATTGAAATTCTTCATTGGTCTCTGAGATGGGAAATTATCCCCCCCTTTCTCCTTCTCCTCCTGACTGCTGAAGTTGACAGTCTGTCTGCATTAACCAAGACTACATTTGCATTAGCAGAAGCAGACTTGTTCCAAGATGCACGGTGCCGCTTCCCCTCGGAGCATCTCCAAGGAAGGCAAGAAAAATCCAAAGCTTAGTATAGCCGACGTGCCCTGGGCTTGGCTGGGAGTTGGCCTCATTCAGGAGCAGGTGCAGTGGGGCCTGTGAAGGGGGGGCTGTCTGAGAGTTGGAAAGCTGCACCTGGCAGCCAAGTCGCTGGCATGAGCCCCAGTGCAGCAGTATCGAATCCTTGGTGGCAGCTCATAGTAAGAGGCGGATGCAGGAATCCTCCGTGCGTGTGTGTGTGTGTGTGTGTGTGTGTGTGTGTGTGTGTGTGTGTGTCCGAGAGAGAGAGAGAGAGAGAGAGAGAGAGAGAGAGAGAGAGAGAGAGAGAGAGATTTCTTGGAAAGATGTGCCACCACCCCAAATCCTCTTACTAGGTCTGGACCTAGACAGACACAGGATGTGAATTAGAATAATGGGTCATGATTCATGGTTTAGACAAGTTGTTTAGCCAGTCGAAGCTGTGGCTATTGTAGCTTCCAAGTAGCACAGTGAGCCCTGTCTGCTTTCTGCCTATCTAAGAATGGAGACAGCTCTCTACAGAGAGGGACTCCGTGGGGTTCCAGCTCCAGGATGCCCTACCTAAGAATCCATGACCCTTCCATTCCTACTTGAGTCTCAGACCCTCAAAGCCCGACACCCCATAACTTCCCATCTAATGCTTTAGAGGCTCTCCCTAAAGGTAAGACATGTGGACTTAACCCCCTAATATACAATATTTTATGACTGTTAATATAAAGATGAGTGCCAAACAAGCTAGAATTGTTTTATTGTCATCGCAGCCCTGCCGTCCTATTTCCTCTTATAACTTGGAAAGAAGCTAATAGAATGTTTTGTGTGTGTCTAAACATGTGGTAGACACTTGGCACTGATCCTGCCCCATCTGATAGAAGGCCAGCTATTAGCTCTTAGCGCTCTAGTAAGATAAGTAGTGATCAACGGTTCACAAATGACTTACGCACGTACCCCCAGGGTTTCATTAAAGACTCTGTGTCCTGATGTCTTCTGGGGTTTGGGAGGAAGTTCTGAGCACACAGAGCCTGTGCCTTGCAGAACTCACAGAAAAAAGAATCAATGACACATAAGCACCAAGGGTTTTGGGTCTTGAGAGGAGCCCTGGAGGAAACAGAGCCAGAGAGCTGCAAAGGAGACTGTAGAAAGGGAAATACACTTTAGGGGTGGACAGGGACAGCCTATCAGATGTGTCCCTTGGATTGAGACCTGCATGGGAGGAGACAGCCATGGAAGAGGGACATCTGAGGGCAGATGGAGATATAGTAGCCAGAATGGGAATGGCTGTCTGCCAGACCCAGGAAGATTATATTCTAGGAACCTGAGGAACAGGAGAGGGGGCTGAGGAAGAAGCGGTCTGGGGAGAGCAGTGATGTGCTATCCCCGTGGATACTGAGAGAACCCTTTCAAAATAAAAACACAAGCATGCTCGTGGCCAGTTACGACCCTGGTGATGGTTGGGTAGTGGGGAAGGTAAAAACCAGACTGTGGTGCTGTAAACATGCAAAAGACTCCTCGTCCTTTCAGGAGGACCTAGAGAGAGGGCCTGATTTGAGTGTGATCAGAGGATGGTTCTGGTCTACCTCGCTAGAATGAAAGCCCAACAGGAAGAAGGTGGCCCCGGGTAAGCAAGAGTATGTACGGAGGAAAGAGCTGAATGGGACATGCATTAGCTGTGCATGACCGGCAGCCTCCAGGAGGTGGGGGACATCTGAATAGAAGGCCTGCAGCTAGGGCTGGACACAGAGTTAGACCTCCCTAATTTGATCCTGGGTGTCTCAGCAAGAGGCCTCATCTTTACACCAGTGAGGGAGAGCCACTGCCTTCAGTGTACACAGTATTCCCCGGCATGGATGGTAGAACACAAGGGTCCTGGTACTTGGACATCTCTGTCCCGCCCCTCATGCTAGGAAGTGGAGGTGAGCTATGCCTTCCCAGTGTCCAGCAATCCCATTGTGACTGCACATCCCCCGGGATCCCAGAACTGAGTCTTCTCACCATCATTTCTACATCAGCACAGGGGCCTTGCAAAACATCTAGAGACAGGAAATAGACACAGGTGTCCCTCTGCCCCCTGCTCATCAGTGCCTTTGCTGAGGGCTGGGAGCTGGGCCAATGGACCAGGGAATTTGACATCCATGATAGTTCAACCATCAATACTTGCACAGCCCTTCAAAGATCCACAGCATCCACCTAAAAAAATAAAGATATGAATAAAAGCAAGAGCGGGACCTTGTTCTGTGAAGTCAGACCCACAGGGCTCTCTTCATCCTGTAGTAAAGTGGTTTAGGGCTTCTAGATTTTCTGTAGTTTTCTCATTGATGCCAGTGAAACTGACAGTTAATACAAATTTGCTTTTTACTAAGTGACCTAGGCCAGAGTTTGTACAGGGTGTTTCAGACTGCGATTCTGAACTCTAAAGACAATGCCGCACACAGCCTTGACTTTAGTTAACTCCAGACTGCGCACGAGGAACGTGAGGACTGAAGAGGCTGTAGGACAAGCCAAAGTCACACCACCAGGGAATGCAGAGGACTGGGAACCAAGCTGGGTGCTGTCTCCAAGCAGGTCCTTCTGAGGGAGCCTCTTAGCTGCTCTTGACCTTCAGTACAAACGACATAATGGGGTACTACAGGTGACTGCCTTGTGCTCCAATCCTCTCAAAAGCCACCCAGGGCTGGACCACAGCATCCTCTATGGTTTAATGATACTTGGATCAGAAGAGATGAAATCATCCTTCCGAGACCTTTCAAAGGCAGCTTGAGACTCGGACCCTCACACTGATTCCCAACTCAGTGTTCTTGTCAATACGCTGGGCTGGGATCTGGGTCAACTTCCTTCCATGTTGTGTGATCCTGTGTTTGTAGTGTAACTCTGGGTCATGATTAAGTTAGAGCTGAGGAAGGACTGGGTGCCCCCATGATAAGGCCTGGGCTAAATACCAGCCCATCCTAGCTCACTGTATGGTGGCCCTGAGGGGTACAGGTTCCACTGGTCTGAGATTGTAGCTGGAAATAGGGTGATGCCATACCCAGAACCAGGGCTCTTGGAAGACTTCGGTGAAGCAGTCAGGAAATGCTTAATACCAAGCTGTAAGTGGCAGGAGGTATGTGACAGCTTTAGTAGCTATTTTGTTATGAGCAATTCCAGAAAATCATCCAATTCAGTTTCCCCCATGCCATTGGAAATTTATGAAATCAGTATGATAGACAACAGATGGGTCGGTGAAAAACCAATATTATTACCCTAGAGTAAATGAACGGTAGCTCCCAGATTCTAATGAAAAGAGTGAAGTGGGTGCGTGGTGTTCAAGGGGAGCTTTTGCGGGGGTCTGTAAGAGAATGTAGATATGTGGGTGAGGATGGAGTATGTTTGTGTGCTCTTACACAAACCTCTTCTCATTGTGACCTTGGTCTCTGGTCACATCGAGTGGTATTTGGAAGCTGTCTTTGCCTGGAATGCTCATGTACTCACAACCGTGCTTGGCAGATAGTGATGAATTTCATATTTCTTCCTAAAACATCTATCAAGACGAAAGAAACATGGCCCTTTTGCATGCTATCCCCTGTGGCCCTCCTCACTGTCTCCTGAGGCTAGTGTTATGCACCTGGGACATGTCTTCCGTCAGTCATCCCTCAGGTGGGTAGGCCAGGCTCCTGTCCTACAGGTGGAACATGCTCCTTAGCTCACCAACATGTGGCTCCTTATGTCCTGATCCTGGATCGATCCCTGTGCTTAGAGGAGTTTATAGAGCAGTGTAAACACACCAGGGCCTGCCAGCATAAATGGGCTCGTGGTATGCAGAAACTCCTGGAAACACGTAAACATATATGCATCCTGAGCCTGTCTGGGGATCAGGCATCTTGGCCTCACTCCCAGACCTGCATCAAGGAAAGACCTGCATCTTCTTCCCTCCATCTCCAGAAAGGAGAAAACTGAGGCCAGGAGGTAGGAGCTGAGTGTTCTCCACCCCACAGAGTAATCAGCTGCCAGGAAAGAGCAGGGCAGGGAGGCCGAGAGGGGCAAGAGTGACTGCTGCCCCTGAGCAGTTAGGCAGCCCCTCAGCCCAGCAGGGCAGCTTCTTTGTCTGTCTCTCCTAAAGCAGGCCTGGCCCCAGCCTCATCCCTGTACCCTTGCCCATGCTAAGCCTACTCTGTGAGGCCCTGGACATCCACTTACATGTCCCTGTCTCTGCCCACTGGGATATAGCCTAATAGACAGGGGAGCAGGACCTTATGGTCCCAGACACTTCCCAGGCAATGGAGAATTGGTTCAGGGGAAGAGTGTGTTCTTAAGGTAACACTATCTGATCATATTCTGAACGACTAGGGCAGTGTATGGGATGGAACGAAATGTCTCACAAAAGACCACAGCTAGGCACATGCCAGTTAAACCTAGCCAGATAAATCCAGAAAGAGGCAGCATGTGGTCCAGTGTCAGACAGCAGTCAGGACTGAGATGGACTAAATGGGAAAATGGGGCTGGCTTCTTCACATTCTTCTTTTAAAAACCCTAGGGGAAGGCACTCACATTTTCCAATGGGCAAAGGAAAGCACAGGTGGGGAAGAGCCACTTGCTTAAGGTCACACGGTAAAAAGCAGGTGGAGCTGGAACAAGTACAAGAGCTTAATGCTGTGCTTCTCTGAGAGAAAATTCTAGAACAATGTTTGAAGTACACAAAGTATACCTTTCGGGATATGATTGAGAAAATCCGTATCTTTCTCTTTCCTTCCTCCCTCCCATTTTTCAAAGCAATTTGAAGAGAGACAAGGCCGAACCAACAGCAAAACAGCCTTTTACCAGGCACTGCAGAACTCGTTAGGTGGGGAGGACTCAGATGCCCGCATCCTCGCAGCTGCCGTATGGTATTACTCCCTGGAGCACTCCACAGACGACTACGCCTCCTTCTCGCGGGCACTAGAGAATGCCACCCGGTAAGCCAGGCCCACCAGGCAAGTTGGAACCACTCAATATTCTAGTTCTTGCAGGATGTAATTCCTCTGCCTACTGTGGATGAGGGTTCGGAGGCTTCTCCAATCTTGACAAAAGTACTGAGTACCTGGGTCATCATTGAAGCTCAGGGTGTCCTCAGTACCATGAGGTAGCTCTCCCTGATGGGCCCTCAGACCACTTGGGAAGGAGACATGATAAGGCCCAAGGGTATAGATATGTGCTTAGATCCACACTCAACTCCACTTGTGAC